CCCGCTGCGCCGCCACCAGCCGCGCCGCCTTCTTCCTTGCCGCGCCGCTGCACCCCTCCCTCTTGGCCATGGCCTCCCCCGGTTCCACTAGTTGAGGTTGTGGCCCACTTTGTACTCCATATATACGTGCGCTTTGCACATATTCAACAGAAACTATGTTCAGATCATGTGTGGTAAGGTCACCACTAATGATAAGTGATGACAACACCTTATGCAGTTTGCAACCAAACAATGTGTGTTATGTGCGCCTAGTGCAACACACGCGACCAAGCAGTGGGTCAATATTAGTTACCTCGTGCTACTAGTCTAGATGCGGGCAACCAAACTATGCGCAGATATGTTGGTTTTTGGGGTGTTTGACGTCAGCCAGGCCCGTTGAGGCCCATTAGAGAAACACATGTAATGTAGGCAAAATCGGTGCAGACAACCAAACAGGCCTCAAGATGTCCTGTGCTCGAGTCTCACCCCCATCCATTTATTTTTCAGCATCTCTTTCTTCCCGCTGACAGGAAGGGCCCACTCTGTCGATCCAAAAACAAAAGTAGATTTTTTGTGTGTGTACAGAAGTCCCTGGATGGACATGGATTCCCTTCCTTGTAAAAGCAGCAAAAGGCACTAGTGGAAAACTTGAGAGACAGGACAGAGCAGAGAGAGATATTCCAAGTGTAGGTAGGTGTAGGAGGGCAAAGCAAAGGCGCGGCGAGGCACACGTCGTCGCCGACCTTGAGCCCAGAGTGCACGCAGCATCAGATTCCATTTCCATTGCCGATCATCCTCGATCGTCTGCTACCTTCTCGATTGAGATCGCCTTTCCTACTGTATAAATCTGGCCGCCGTCGCCGTGCGTGTAACCAACCAGCCAAACACATTGCCATCGCCGGCCCGTGTCTTGAGCTTGCTCCCCTCCCAGTACGTACGTACGTACGTTCAAAGCCATGGCGGACGGCGACCAGAGCCAGCAGCCGCCGCGCTACTGGTTCCCCTACTGGAGCGGGCCGCCGCCCCCGGTGCGCCCGCAGATGTCGCGCCGCCTCTCCCCGCCCCAAGCGCCCTCCTCGCCCGCAGTGCCGTCCTCGCCGCGCCGCCCCTCGCCGTCCCACCCCCGCCAACCCACTCCTCGTGCGGCTCAGAGCCAGGCGTCCTCCCGCCCGTCCCCGTCCCCGTCCCGGGCATCGCCGCTCGCGCCCATCCGAGAGCTGCCCAACAGCAACTCCGTCTCCAACGCCAGGCCGCCTCCTAAGCCGGTCGCTCTGCCCGCGACGCCCAAGCCCAAGGACGTCGACGTCGTCCCGCAGCCGGAGAAAACCTCCGTGCACCCGCCTGCTGCTGCGGCTGAGACCAAGCATGGCCACAGGGCAGCGCATCACAACAAGGAGAAGGAGGTTGACAAGGAGAAGAAGGACGAGCACAAGAGCAAGGACAAGAAGCACCACGCCGGCGAGGACAGCAAGCACAAGGACAAGGAGAAGAAGAACCATGCCGACGCCGGCGAGGAGAGCAAGCACGGGAAGGAGAAAGACAAGGAGAAGAAGCACCATGCGGACGCCGTCGAGGAGGGCAAGCACAAGGGGAAGGAGAAGGAGGCCAAGGCGGATCACGGGAAGCTGCACGGGGAGCTCAAGGCGGGCGTCGCCGACATGGTGCGCAGGGCCACCGGCTCCGGGCACCAAGGGGCGAGCGTGATCACGCTGGCGGGGGAGAACAAGGGCGCGTCCATGAAGGTGGGCGGCGGCATGGGCAAGGACGGCTCGTGGAAGGAGCACCACGGCGGGCACCGGCTGGACGGCGGCGCGGCGGACGGGAAGCCGGACGGGCAGAAGAAGCAGGGGATGATGACGGCGCTGATCAACAGCAACGTGCAGGTGATCAACAACTCGCTGCTGCTGCACAGCTCATGCAGCGGCAGCGACCCCGGCGTGCACCTCAAACTCTCCGCCAAGTCCGCCAACAAAGACAAGCAGAAGCACGCCGCCGGTGCAGACAAGGATGCCGCTGCAAAGAAATGAGCGCCGTCGCCGACTCGCCGGCCGGCCGGCCACTGTAAACGGCGCTAGATGCTAGCCATCCACATGTGACTATATGCAAATAAAAGCAACCCCAACCGATCCTCTAATCGGTTAGACAGGAAAATACGAGCTAAGCGTATTTCTAACCGATCCCTAATAATCGATTAGAGGAGTAAAATTCTTCTAACCAAAACCTAACCGATCCCTAATTGACGCTAGTGAAG